CACTGTCGCGAAATTGCGTTCAGATCCGATAGATCAAAGTATGTGGAGAATTTCTTACATAATTTGGAAAAGCTACGCTATGATGGTTTTGGAATTGTCGAAAAAAAGCCAAAAGCCAAGTTTTGGTATGAAAATTGTTTTATGAACGGATGGGCTTCTATCGTGGTATTTAACATACGAATGTACTGTAAATTACTATAATAGTAAAATCGATAGAGTCATACGGAAACGTCATGCGACATAAATAAACAATGTTGTAATGTTGTGAAAATATAAAATGAATTTGGACAGTATTGTAATAGCCAATGATACAAATATCGTTAAATGCGGATGTATAAATGAATCTATAGAAATGTATTAGTGTTGAGCAAATGAAAATGTTGAAATGCTTATAAGTGGGAGAATAATTTTTCGCCAAATAAAGGACTTGGCATATTAACATTGTATACGCGTATAGAGCATCGAGCGTATATGCTTGTGAAAGGGAATTTTAATTTATTTAAATATTTTCTCCATAGATATCCAGTGTTCTTTTGGATTTGGTAATATTTCTCATTGGCGTTAAAATCACAATTTTGCCCAAGACTTTACGAGTCGAAGGTATACGTATTTAGATATTTGAGACCAAAATTGAATACGTGAAGCATGTTACGTAAGCTTTCTCTCCTTCGAGCGAAATATATCTTACAATAAGAATGATCAAAAGCATTTGATATTCTACATGCATTAGAAACTTTGTATTTATATTTGCGCACTAATTGCCATTTATTTGAAAATTTAGCACAAAATTAATAAGACGTTATCTAAATTTGATGTGTGTGCGTAATATATCAAAAAGTTTGATTGAAATGTTTATCGTCGTATTGGATGACCGAGCGATAATGCGATTGAAGCCAATGGATACCGAGTCCAATGTTTAAAGTATAAAGGAAGAAATCGGACTTAATGTTCGATATACGCGCTGATTACGGTACATTAACGAGGGACAAAATCAAATTCAAGTCAGTCTAAATGCGACATTATTGACCCAGCAAACATTTCGCTTAGTTTTCCAATACGAATCTTTCATTGTGAGCGCTTTCTCAGAGGGACGTGAAAGTCATTCGTTCACACAGAAAAGTACAATGGATCTTACGCCGAGCGATCGGCTCCAATCAGTCTCCGAAAAAATCGACGGCTAGTCCAAAGGGCATTTATCCTCCATCAATGAGGAGGCGGCATCGAGCGAAACAATAGAGATAGAGATGTACGGTGTACAATGAAGGGAAGCTGCGCTCGGAACGTCAAAATTTCCTCTCAGCCGCTTCGAATCTCCCTCCGTCCTGTAATATAAGATTGACGATTTGTCAGGTCGATGAGTCGTCGACGAGCTTGAATTATTTCATTGGAAATGTCTATTATTGATAAATGCCGAGTTGCCGAGCAAATCGGGCGCCGTCAATATCCAGAGATTATGGCCTTGCTTACTAGTTTGCCGAGATACTTTCTCCTCAATCCATATTCGCTTCGGCCGCATTCTATACGACTGCCTTTGGCTATCACCACGACGTTAATAATTAAACGAAAAGTTATGACGAATGGTATAATAGCAAAATATACAACAACAAATAAGTATAATAATGTTTATTAAGATTGGACATATGACAGCAATAAATTATGTAACTTGTGAATCGATAAACGAGTTCAAATTAATGAGAATTTACGAATATAACGTATAAATCCTCTGTAGCCCCCGTCACGGTTGCAGCAACACGCACATAACGTTTAAATAAATCTATTTTACCATAACTCTTAATTCCCAGACGCGCGAAAATAACTAAGCTAACTAGTAATTACGTAGTAATTACTTATTACTAATTACTAATTACCGCCTTACAACCCACAACCCAATCACCTAATACTGACGTAAACAGGCGAAACAATGAACACATACGCGTGCGGCGAAAAAGTCCGGCTATCCAAATTGCTTTGAACATCGTATTTTATGGAATTGGAAATTTTTGTGCGTCTAGCGCAAGAAAATGGATGTTACGGGAGCTGTTCCGCGTGCAGTAGACACGCAGCATATCGTTACTTTTCGATTTTCAACTTCATCATTATGGCACGACATTTTTAATACCCGGAGAAAACAATTTTTTCGTAAATTCGCTGGCTATTATTATTTGGCTGTGGTTTATTCGAGCGCGAATGAAGTTTTCTCGATCGGTATAATGATATCCGGGAGCGAGGTCGAGGCAAAGTTTTGTGAAATTGTAGTAATTTACCTGCAGCTCGACCGAAATACACTCCAAGTAAAAAATCGCCAGTCTGCATTCCCAACAACTTTACGAGCCTTCGAAATTGTACTCTGTAAATTACGAGATTCAATAACTATGTCCTTTAACGCCCGTCTCGTAAAACCAGCGCGCACTCGTTCCGTCCTTTTATTTTTCATCCTTTGGCACACGTGGCAACTCTCCGATTCCCGATAAACCCCCCCCCCTCCTCCCCACGCTAACCCTAACCCTAACCCACCCCCTCAATCCGGCCCCATGAACATCAGAGGCTCAGTTAGTCCTGGTTTTATTAAGCTGCAAAGTATCCAGGACGTCGAGGAGCGCGGATGTGCCATTTTCTTCCGCTAAATCGATAAGTGGCAGAATCAAAGGGGAGCTTTATGCCCAGCCACTCTCATTATTGTCCGATCGCCAAGACTTTTTCATTATAGTCGCGTTTTACGAATTACGTATTACGAGTTAACGCCTGCTCGTCCTGACGGTGGAGGCTCCCTTCCATGTGCGTTAAAAAAAAAAAAAAAAAAAAAAAAAATATGTAACAAACGCTTCTTTACAAAATTTTCTCTCCGCATCGTCTGCGTCGTTAGAATGACAATGATGGAAAATGCTTGCTCCGCGTATGCATGATATTCGCGTAAACAGTGTTGAAAGAGGGAGTGGACGAGTTGCCATAGAGTGGGGAACGGGACAAGGAAATTAGACGAACCGAGAGTAAAGCGACGGGTCAGGAAATTGGCAGAAAATCAATTTTATTCAAGCTGAATTATTTGTTCGGATGCTCATGGATAATTCTTTTTCGTGGCCGTCCGTTCGCTTTCGCACGAATCGTCATTTTCCATTAAAATACGTCGTACATTATTAAATTTTTCATTTTTCCTAACGATGACGCTAATTAGATAATCAAATACATATGAATTGTCATTATTTCAAGACGTCGATTGTCGATGTCGCCCAAACAAAGAATAAGCTTAAACTACGAGAGTCGCGCTTATTGAAAACTTTTGCGTTTTCCATAAAGTACGAACGGTCTAACGGATTCTATAATCATTGATTTATTTCTCTCTTCAGTTGTTTCAATGAGTTTCAACCGATTACTTATGTATTTAAATAGTTAAAAATTTATACTTAAGCATTTAATTCTTCCAATATCGCTATAAAATACTAAATATTTTGTCATAAAAAATAAATAAATAAATAAATAAAAATTATTCAATCGTTTATAAAATATTAATAAAGTGATTATTAATTTTATACATTCTACTCTAATTAATTCATGATACGTATATAAATAATTAATAATACCAACACTTTAATGCTACTTGTATCCTAACATTTTATTTCTATATTTCAGGTTGTTTACAAACTATTAATTTATCCACGTTAAATATTAACTTTTATTATTCTGGTTATTTACTTAGTGCGAGGTCGAATTTAATGGTCATTTGTACTATAAATTAACTAAAAAAAAAAAATCGATGCTGACGACTGTCATTAACGAGCAATTTTTGATCGAGGATTTTGAAAATAAATTCTATGCCAAGTTAGACTCTATGTATTTGTTTCTGTAATGTGAATGATTTAAAATAATAAGTCGATTAACAATGTACAAAGTACAATGAATTTGTGCATTGGTTGACTTATTATAAAACGACTGCAACCATTTTATTAGCAAATAAAAATTTCATAATTTCGTACATTTTTAGTGTTTAATCTAAGAACTTTTACGCAAAAGGCTTTCGAAATTTCCATCCTTTGGTGGGGAGGGGACACGTCGTTGAAGCTCCAAAGTCATACACGGACGAGGATTAGCACAACCTATTCAAACTTATTAAAATATTATAAATATTATATTAGAGAATAGATAAGAATCTCCGGATGTAATCGTTTTTTCGATATTTCTTATAAACGATTTGGCTTTCTTATATCTTAACAAATATAATATATTATATCTTATATCTTAACAAATGTATAAATCAGTGAATAATACGTTGATACATTAATCGTTTATACATAAAGATTTATAATATTAAGAAATTATATTGGTTGGAAAACTAAAAATTCTTTGTAAATTTTACTGATACGCCAATCGTGATATTCGTATAATAGCATAATAATATAATTAATATAATAACAATTGAATTTCATTTCAACAAAGTTTTTAAAAAATAATAACTAGCAAAACTATCGAATGACTTTTAATATATTTTATTAAGAAAAAAATAAAAAAAATAAATAAGAAACCTATTAATTAAAATGTTCAATGATTGAAATTAAAAGTCTCGCAAGTTGGAAACTTATATTATTGATAATGTATAATGAAATAGTACGTTGATCGGTTTCTTTAAGTAGAACTACATTTCGTCCTTCGCGTTGAAAGTAGCAAATTTGATTGAAATGAAAAATGCAAAATTCCACTCGCTAAACGAGCCACTAAATAGTGTAAATAACAAAGCCCAAGGCGATGATTATTTGGTTAAAGAGAGAGAGAGAGAGAGAGAGAGAGAGAGAGAGGGGGGGGGACAATGGGACGATTCAATTAATTTATTGTCATGTAAAGTTGAAACATAAGTCGTCAAAGACAAGACATTTTTATTAATAGCGTCGCGCTACGAGACACGAGCGCTCAACCACCCTCCCCTCTCCCAGCCACTCGGGGTACCCTGATAAAAGGACACAACGGTCTTTGAATTTTACTTAAACCGATGCTTGAATATGCTTGGACAGCTCGCTACGTCTGGTGGATCGTGTACTCGACGATAGCACCCCTCACGCTCCAGCAATTCCGCGACCTGGACTTTCAGTTCTCGCGGAAGGTATTCGGTCTCAAGGAGAAGACCCCGAGGTGGAAGAGCTGCACCGGTAATGTCAACGCGGACTTTGGCATGGCGCTCAGCTACATGTACGTGCGTCGGCATTTCGACGAGGAGTCGCGCGATAAGGTAAGAGAAAGCGAGAGACAGAGAGAGAGAGAGAGAGCGAGAGCGACGTTGTTCTATCTTACTTTTTTGCGTCTCCGATATAGGGCCAATTTCGCCTCTCGCGGTAGATTTTTTCTCTGCTTTTCCGCGTATATTCGCTTTATTTATTGCCGGAGATTTTCCGGGATAGGGGGGGGGGAGAGAGAGGGTAAGATGCGGCTAGTATAGCGCGGGATTAATAGCGAAGATTGGCTTTGTCGGGGCTTTCGGAAAGATAGGGAAAAGTTTCTAGTCAATGACGAAAATTAACAACCTTACCGCGTTTGGTTACTGGATTTCCACCCAAATTACACGTACAATCACTTTGGTTTATCAATTTAGTTAAACATTATACCTCCTCGTCGCTCAATTAAAAAATAATTATAAATTTTTGCAACAAACGTACTACCCCAACGTATTACCTTTGTCCAGATATTTTTTTTTTTTTTTTTTTTTTTTTTTTTTTAAATTTCATCCCCATTAACGATATACTGATTTTCGAAGACGTTAATTGACCTCCAGCCAAGCTTCGTAATAAAAGGACGTTGGAGATTAGAGGTGACCCATCTCAAGTGACACACGAGCTTTTCCAATCAACGATTCAACTCCAAGCAAGATATCGCGACATCCTTGCTATGATCTTCGGACCACCTCCTTCCCGCTTAAATCAATCCTTAAATCAACCCTTAAATCAACCCTTAAATCAACCCTTAAATCAATCCTTAAATCAACCCTTTGAATTGCTCGCAGGCGCTGAATATGCTGATGGACGTACGTACGGCATTCGACAAGATGGTCGCGGAGCTCGAGTGGATGGATGCGGGGACTCGGGCCCGTGCCCACAGGAAACTCCACGCCATGCGGCCCTTCGTCGGCTTCCCCGACTGGATCACCAAGTCGGAAAAACTCGACAAGTTCTATAGCGGGGTGAGCCTCTAAATAAATCACGCGCCGACTCGGTTCGCCGTTGCGGTCTCTTAGCAGGACTAGGGATTACATTCTCGAAGCAATGTCAAATCGTCGAAGGAATAAGATGACTGGGTGACGGGATAGGGATAGGGAGAGGGAGAGGGAGAGGGAGGCAATATTCAAAGTAGCTGTAAGGATGGCCGGTTAAAATGAGGAACACACGTATATTATTTGTATATCTGGGCTCGAGTGCTTACGAATTGATCAATCCAGCGAGACGTTTTTAGAAAATTCTTGCTGAAATCTCTGCGTATATGCAAGACGAGGAGGAGTGGCGGGGAGGTGGGTGGGAGGTAAGGCGGCGTAAATGCTGATAAAAATAGCCGCTCGAAGCGTGTGATGAAATGAGGGATGGGATAGGCGGTAGGTAGGTAGGAGGAGGGAGTATTGTCAAAACGTCTACGCGGAGCTTGTGTCAAAGGGTAAATTTAGTAGATCAAAGAGAATGATAGGAAAAGTAGGAGAAAGGGGGGGGGGGGGGGGGGGGGGGGAGAGAGAAAGAGAGTAATTAACGAGGCGCGCTTTAAGCTAGAAAGCCGGAGACGCTCGGGTGATCGGACATTCTCTCGGTATTAGCTCGAATTTTCAATGACTTGGGTGTCCTTCTTCGGCTTATCGACACTAATATCGACTTGTTATTCTTATCGTGCGCTTGCGAGTCGGACGTTTCGCCAAAGTATTGGGCAGGCGAGCGAGAGAGTAACATTGATAAAAAAAAAAAAAAAAACAATTAAAGTGCCCGCTTTGGAAAATGTTTATTTCCTTGGTATTATTGGTTTGAGTAATTGTTGTTTTTGAGGAAGTGGCCAAGTGGATCGTTTAAAAGCGCCTCAAGCGAGAAATAAATCTTTTTTCTCTCGCTCTCGATGCCCGGAAAAGTTCGCCTATAGAAGAAATTAATCTTTGTGACAGTATAAGCAGCAATTACAACATCGAGGTTCTAACTAATTAAGGGAGCGCGATATATGTTAAATTTTTCGCTTAGCGAACATGTATCAAGGATAGGTTGAGCTTTCATTAGAATGGCAACGATAAAATTAAGCACTTTCTTTTCACTCTTTGCTTATTTTTGCGACATACTTGTAGATGACTATAGAGTGGTCGTAGATGGGCTTGCTGCGACCATTTTGTACTAATCGTTAAATTGCAAAAAATTTCATTACAAGCCCATTGAATCCCATTACATTGGACTACATTGAAATAAACTTACTTTTCAAGCTAATGTTCAAGCTGCATTAAAAGCTCAAACATCATCTCCCCCAGTGTTTGATTAGCGATAGTTTATTTAGCGACTCGTAGAAAAAGAGAAAGGACGGATAATTGGCTTACATCTGTGATTGGCATCCGTGACTTCGAGATACAACTCGACAAATGTACGAAATGCAGGGGGAATTCATTGCAAGAAATGGAAAATAGAGCGGAGGTCCTTGCGCAATTTACCGGAACGAGTGAATTTTTTAAGCTTACGAGTATAAACATAGAGTAATCGCCAATTTCTCGCTAAAAAAAAATTGGCATTCGGATATAGATGGATGAATATGAATATTTTCGGATATGGCAGAGTCCTCTAATGGATAAAGTATGCCGTAAATGCAAGATGTAAATGCAAGAAGGATGACGATTTGACTCCTTTGACTCGTTCACGCCGGGCGATCATCGCGTCCTGCGAAGCTCGTCTCTCAACATTTTCATAATCGATATCGCGAAAGCGTAAATTTGATAATTGGCTATTCGATATGCAATTGAACAAGCAAATTCTCCTCGAGCATCACTCGCTTATTATTACTCCTACTCTCCTTTATTCGCCTCTCCTATTCAGCTTTATTAACAATAACATGAAACGTTCCTTTTTAATTTGCTCAGACGAGATAATATCCGCAACACTTTAACTCTTGAAATACATAAAATTAAAAATGGTATTTGAAAGCTTTGAAGTGGTTTTTACGATGCATTTCACTGCTCCGCTTTCCTTCACACGAGAAAGAGCCAAATTCCATTAAAGACCAATTGACGCGACTATTATTAAATTACATCCCTATTATAAAGATTGCCAAACGTACTTTCTATTAAAACGTTCTGAATCTCTGTGGGTTCGTTCGAGAATCAATGCCATTGATAATTGAAATTTTTTACTCCGTATTTAATGGCGATTTGAAATGTCAATGGAAATGAAGATAACGCGAGTCGAAGATTTTCAATGGATCTGCCAGCATATTTGCGTCGAGCTTTCTTAAATGAAAGGGCCGGTCAGATGGCATTCAAGCGCACTACGATAAATAGGAGATGGGGACAATAATATTTAATATTGCAACAAATTAGAAAATCAAAAGCACTCGAGTCATTTATCGATTAATATTTTTGTTAATCATCTTGGGATCGCCGCCTCGTGCGAACGTTAACATTTAATGACCAAACGTTATATGGATGGTGGTAGTATCAGCGACAACGCACGCACTTGAGCGTAAATTTGCCAAACGGATGGGATAGTGAAAAATGCCATGGAGAGCTCGAGCATCGCTCGTTAATTAACAAACCTTACTTACCAAAGCACTTTGGATGAATTAATAGTTTGGAAAACTTGCGCGGCAAGGCCAATTGAATAGCCAAGCACGGCAGGAGTCTTGCGACGCGACATAAAAAAGTTTTTTCGAATTCCCTCGTAACGGTTAAGCAGCTCGAGTGGCCCCGGGTCGACTGCCCTGACCGAATGTGCCCGCAACATATTCCTCGATGTAATCCGCATTACTTGTCGCTTAACAGGCTGAGGTCGTAGATGGTAAGCTCTTCGAAACTATCCTCAAGTTGACCAACATCGGATTGAGAAAAAGGCTGGACAGCTTGAGGGAGAAGCCCGACAAGAACAGGTGGATAAGCTCCGGGACAAGGGTGAACGCCTTTTATAGCGCCAGTTTGAATTCAGTCAGTGAGTATGCGCGATATATTTTATGCAAATGACTCGATTTAATAAAGCGAGACGAACTTAATCGCTCAAAGCTATCCATGAAATAAATAATAAATCGTCGATTGTGTCGCTAGTGCATCGTGAGTCTGCTCGGCGGATGATTTTATCCCATCATCTCAATGCCTATAATATATGCCAATCGAAACTTTTATATGAAATTTCTTTTACCACCTTGCCGAAGATATATATATATATATATATATATGTATATGCATGTATGTATACGCGTGCGCGCGCGCGCGCCCTTGTGTGTGTTCAAGTGAATTAATTATTGGCTGTGCCAATACCATATTAATTAAAATTATACAAGGTCCGTTATTAGGGAATTCATTGATTACTCCAAACTAACTTGTCGTTTAACTATAAAGAAAATAAAAATTCAGAACAATCAAATCAAATTCTTTAATGGTAAAGCATTCTATTACTAATGACACTTAATTGAAAATGGATATATTTGAGCGCATAATAGCTGTGTAAGATATTGAAAATTTTGATAAAATTTATGTAAATTGTAAATTTTACATTCGGTAAGAGTACACGTTTAGCTACTGCGATATTTTACATTCGTATTCAATCAAATTCGTGACCTATTTAAATCTTTCCGATTATAAAAATATTCTCGACTGTAGAGCTGATGATATAGTCGCTACAACGTAACCCCCTAACGATCATTTCAAACATTCGAATAATCCATACAAAACTTTGTAATGTAATACTATAAATAATGGTTAAATAATTGTTAAATAATGGTTAATAAGTGACGTTTGTACTACGAATTTTTGTCGTTGAGAGTCAATGATGTGGCTATGTTTAGAAAATAATTTCACATTGTTGCACATTTTTACGCTGCGATTGATAATATTGAACAAAAAAAATTTGTTGAATGTAAGGCTTGATAAATGACAAAAGAACTATTGATATTTACTATGAAAGTTTTTTCACTGAATATTATTTTATGTGTTTCTTTTGTACTGGGAACCTTTTTTTATTTTTTGTTTTTTTTTTTGTTTTTTTTTTGTTTTTTTTTTTTGTTTTTTTTTTTTTGTTTTTTTCAATAAATTTAACGATGTTTAAATTTAATGTATCATTGTATTTCAAATCTACGTTCGAATATATATATAAAAATATTATCGTTTGCCACTTCTTTCTAAAGCTTTATCCATTTTAAATACTAAAGTGTCGCATTAATAGTGAAGAGTCTGTGGTACGTCAATAGCGTGCAGGTTAAATATTAAACATGGCGACATAAAAAATCAAGCTTGGCTTAATAAAGCTTAGGCATAAAATTTCGGGATATACTTGTGCGATTGATTTTTGATTTTTACATGATTTTGTCATGGCCGCGTGCGAAAGAAAACTTCGCCTCGGTAGTAAATGTCCTCGAAGTTTATCGAACGAACGCGTATTATAGAGTAAGTAATTTCTCGAGACAAATTTAGCATATTATATTTATTGAATCCGTATACATTTGCATACGTCATATAACGCGAATGCGCCATACATCTACCAAATAGTCACCGCTTTCACACGAATCCCACTCTTATATATAAATAATGCAAGTTGAAAGTCTTGGAGGGTATTATATGTATATATATATATATATATATATATATATATATATATATATCCACTCGATAAGTTACATGACTGTTTCATGATAGTTTAACAAGTAATTGACAATGGTTGAATGATTATTTGATTAAAATGTTATGTCTCGATTACTCGAGGCAATTTGATTCAAGTTGATTCAATTGAGCCAATGTCAGTTAAAAGCGAGTCCTTAAAATGTTATATTTTCTGTAACTATCAATTGATTCATTGTAGAATCATAACAACTTTTTCACTTTTCTCTCTCCTCGCTCATAAAATACGAATAAAGGATTTTCAATATAAAAGCTATAAAATAACAAAAAAAACAAGAAACAAGAAACAAGAAACAAAAAAACTAAAAAACAAAAAAAAAATGAAGAAAAGAAGAAAAACAAAATTATAATTACATTATTTGTTAATAACTTTTTTTTTTGTTTTTTTGTTTTTTGACTTTATCGCATATAAATTTAATGATGCGTTGGCTTTGGAGAGGAAAAAAAATTTGTATAAAAATGATGTCTGAACTCTGTGTTGAGAAGAAAAACATTTGACAATGTACCGGCAAATGAGAAAATAATTTTTCTCCTCTCTTTCTCTCTTTTTCTTACTTTTAACGGCAATATCAAGCTTTAAAAGCTTCCTTACCTTCCAACCCTCGCATTCCAAAACTTCCAACTAAAGTCCGAATATAATGAACGAAGCCTTGCAGTATATCATCGCGAGCGTAGCAAATAAATAAATACATAGCGTAGCATAAAGTGAATAAAGTTTTGGAATGAACAAAACAGCCAAAGTTCTGCATTGGCCTTTTTTCGTTTTGGTCTTTTGCGTGTGTTACGTTGTAGTGGCTAAGAAATGCGAAATGCGAGCTTTAAGCCTGAATGTTGAATCCCGCGATACGATGAATCTTGTTGTGGCCTTGTTTGAACTCCTCGACTCGCTTAACTTGGCAAGCCCAGTGGCAAGTAAGATTGCGTAAGCGAGTCGTCGTTCGCAGGTCGAGACTTAAAGATAAGAAAAAAAAAGAAAAAAAAAAAAAAAAAGAAAAAGAAAGAAAAATGACAAATATTTTGCAGCGATACCGGCAGGAATTCTTCACCCTCCATTTTACGGGAACGGACTCCAGTAAGTAAAGACTTTTGCATGTCAAGCCCAGGGCCTCGCAGAAGCGCGCCCCATTCCCTGTATTTTTAATCTTCCCCCCGAAAATAAAAAATTCCATACGACAGAGCACAAAAGAGACGCGTGGGTGGAAGCGCCGTTCGCTCGGTCTCTAAAAATCTCGCGACTGTAAAATTTCATCCCTCAAATTCTTTGATTGCACGCGAGCCGGATGCTGCAGTGCTAGTGCTTCCTCCAATCCGAATATACGGCAATATTTATGTCATAATGGCAAAATAAAAAGCACCCTTAGCCCCTCCCCCCCTCCCCAAATGGAATTTATCTTCCTCTATTGAATTGTCGGTGATAATAATGTTCACCAACGTTTTTGCTACATTTTGCTACGCCGAATAATAATTTCGATATTTAGCTCTACTTGTCCACTGTTTTCGCGAGTTTTTATTCGTAAAAAATTAATCGAGCGATGACTCGAATGATTATTTGATAGTGGTAACGTCAACGTTCTTGTAAAAAAAAAAAAACAAAACAAAGAAAAAAAATCGAAAG